CCCCGGCCGCGGTCGGCAACAATGTTTACGTTCCGGGGATTATGACGTCGGCGCCTCCCCCCACCGCCGAAAATGGTTTCCTAGGACTTTGCAAACGGATCTGCCCAAGTGTTGGTGCAAAACTTTGTAGACCTCGGCCGTGGCGGGCTTTATTTATTTATTTTCGGTTTGTTTTCTTTGGTCTTCCCTCCTCCCCCCCCTCCGCCAAAATGCCGGGGGCAGGAGTGTTGACAATTAATTGGTGAACTCTCCTAAAAAAATGGAGGCAGAGAAAGACTCTGGAAGAAGATTGGTGTGTAGCTCCCCCCCCCCCCAGTCTGTATGTGGTATATGGTAGATGTTCTTTTTTTTTCTTCTTCTTTTTTTCTTGCTGCCTTTTCTTTCCTTTTTCTGTATTTTGCAAGAGGACCGGAAAAAAAATAAATTGCATGCAAAAGGAAGCAAGCAGCTCACTCCTCCAGTCCCTTGTGAGGCGCAGGGTCTCCGACACTTAAGTGGGAGGTGGTAGCGCGGAAAGGCGTGCAGGGGGGCCGAGCGGGCTCGGGGTTCGCTGGGAGCCCGGGGGGCTGCGGGGCCGGGTCGCTGGGCGGCGGAGGAAGGAGCAGGGGATGCGGGGGGGGGCGGCGGTGCGGGTCTCCTTCGGAAGTGAGTGTGCGCGCGCTCGTGGGAGATGAGGCAGCTGCTGGTGCGTTCCGGGGTCTGGGGTGGTAGCTTTGTGGCGGGCCGGCTGCCTCCCCCCCTCCCCAGCCTCCCCCTCTCACCTCCTTTTCTCGCGCTGGCGGCCGCTCGGCGGGGGCTGCTGGGGTCTCGCGCCCTTCCATTTTCCCAGCTTCCCCGGTAGCTCGAGGGCGGCTCCAGCCTCAGCAGTGCCGCCGGCCCCGGGTTCCGGCTTCCCGGCGCTGCCGTAACCGCCGAGCCCGGCGCCGCCGCGGCTCCTCCGGGGCCTACATCTGCCCCGGCAGCCCGTGGCCGGAGCTGCCCTCGCGGTGGCACACCCAGGCTCCCGGCCGGGGCGGGGGCGGGCGCGAGCCCCCCAAGTGTCGCTCCCACCGCCTCCGAGGACGCCGGAGGGGGAATGCCTCGTGCGGGGCGCAGCCCGGCCGGGGGCGCCGGGCCCCTTGCCTTTCCCTGCTTTTCGGCATCCTGGGCATCGGCGCAAAGTTGCTCAGGCCGCAGTGGTGGGGTGCCGGGGGCGCACGGCTCCTGCACCTGTTCGTGCTGGGCCGGGGTGAGCGGCGACCCCCAGTAACGTCCCGGACTCTCTGGTTGGATCCCCGCAGCGTCCGATTGACCGCCAGAGATACGACGAGAACGAAGACTTGTCGGACGTGGAGGAGATTGTCAGCGTCCGTGGCTTCAGCCTGGAGGAGAAGCTCCGCAGCCAGCTGTACCAGGGGGACTTCGTGCACGCCATGGAGGGCAAAGGTGAGGCGCCCCCTCCCCGGGCCGCCCTGCGCGCCGCGGGCCGGCCGCGCGCACGTGGGGAGGGAGCTGCCTGTGGCTGGGTTCGTATTTCGCGCCCGCGTCCCCCATTCCAGGGGATCCGGTGACGAAACGAGGCTGAGCACTGGGGGGGGTGGGGTGGGGTGGCGAAGGAGGAGGGCAGGCGGGAAAGGGGCCGGGCGCGGGCCTAGGCCCGGCCTGCGCCCACCACCAGCCCCGAGGTGGGCAGTGCCACGGGGCTGGTGGACTGAGAGGGACCTGGGGATGGACGGTGGGACGGAGGGAGGGCTGAGCGCGGCGCCTTCCCCTCCCCAGCCGGTCGCGTTCCCCGGGCTGCTAGAAGTGTAGCCGTGGGGCTGTGCTGGGGCTTCGGGAGTCCCTGGGACGGTGGGGTGACGTCCCCAACTTGAAGCCTTCCAAACCTCTATCCTCCGGGGTCCTGCTAGCTGGGAACCCGGTGATGAGGGCCGCCTTTTGGGTTGTTGGTCTTGCACAGCACCTCTATGCCTGGGCTTTGTAGAGGCTCTTGATGCTTCGTCGGCTCTGTGGGGCTGGAGCCGAGATCAGGTGGGATGTGAGTGGCTTGGCCTAAAAATGCCACTAAGCCTGAGTTTTTTGTAGGGGTAGCCTTGGAAGTTTGCGTGTAAGGAAGTCGAGATTATGGGGTGACTCCCCCTCGGGCATAAGGCTGACGTGCCTAACCCTGGCAGTTGGAAGATTTGGGGTTCCTCTTTGGGGAAGTGTTTGCAGTCCTGAGACCCTGAGAGCGCTATCTTTTGTGGGCCTTTCCTATGTAGGGCAGACATGGGGACGCCCCAGGTTTTGGAGAGCCCTTCAGCTTCGGACCTAAAAGGCATGAGTTTTTCCTGGGGTCCTCCTATTAAGAGGGTAGTTTGGGGGTGTATTCCAGAGGTGGAGGAGATGCCCCTTTTGGGGGCTGAGGGAGTACTGAACCACCGTAGCCTCCAGACTGGGGCCAAACGCGGCCTGTGGGGTTGAGGTTGGAGCTGCTCCTGCCTACTCCGGTCTTCTCTGGAGGTGGGGAAGTTCATTTGTTCCCTCCTGAGTTGGCATTTCCTTGCAATCACTCAGTTTCTATTTTGTGGTTCCCCACCCCCTTCTTGGAAACCCCTTCCCCCTCAGGCCTCCCCCCTCTGGGTTCTGGTTGAGTGCCTGGGGCCCTGGGTTAGCCCGAAGAGACTGTCCCCCAGGCTTTGCATTTTTGAAGTTTCTCTTTTGTGCTCCATGCCTCCTGGGGCACTGGGCTCTGGTGGGGTGGGTGAGAAGGGGGAGGGAGGAAGAAATTTCTTCCAGGCCAAGAGCCTAGTGCCAGACCTAACTGCATTTACATTCCTTCCGAGAAAATGGGATTTTAATTCTTCTCTTTTCTTCCCTCATTTGGCAGAGCCTATGAGAAAACAATAAAAACAATATACAAACTCTTCCTGGTCATTTGTCAGGAATCCCCAGCCCAGGCTCTCAGAGGTTTTTCTCTGGCTCATTTGAGGAAGTTGCAGTGGGAGGTGGGGCCAGGGGAGAGGGGTGTGTGGCTGGGAAGGTGACCAGCCTGGGAGCTCTGAAGGGCATCCTTCCATCTGCTGTCCTGGCTCCTTAGGGTTTCATTACTTAATTCAGATGCCCCAAAACTCGAGGGAGAAGCTGAGAAACAGGGGGAGCCCTTAGCCTGGATTCAAAATAGAAGCTTCCTAAACTTCTCTTTAAATCCTTGAGGAATCCCCATTCACTGGGAGCCCCTGGGGATCTGAGCCCCTGAGGTCAGGGCTTTCCAGGCTCGGGGTTTTTGTTCTTTCTCTCCTCTGAGCCAGTTGTCTTGGCCTCCTCCTCCTCCTCTTCCTCCTCCTCCTCCTCCCCTTCCTCCCCCCTTCTCTTCCTCCTCCCCCACTTCTTGCCCCCCCCACCCCCCACCCAAGGCTGCCCTGGTGAACTGTTTCCTGGGCCCAAGCTTCAGGTGTCCTGGAACACTTCTGTCTCCAGTGAGTTGCTTTAGTCACCTGAGAATTTGAGGGACACAAACGTTTATCCCAACCTCCCTCTACTCTGTGGAGGCATGCAGGTTGGGTCAGACCTACCCTGGTTTGGGGATTGAGGAAGGGGAAAAAAATGAGTCTAAGGCCTCCTTCATTCCCCAGGACTTAGGATAAGGATTTGGGGGACCATCCCAGACAAAGCTCAGGTGGACATCTGCGCTGTGAGTTTTCCTTCGGATCTTCCTATGCCCCATTTGCCTAGTCCACCTGGAGAGTATCCCTCTCCATTCTCCAGTTGAAGCAAGAATTGTGATGGCTCTAGCAGAATTTCACTAGAAGACAACAAAGCTGTGCCCAGTTCCCTAGTTATTTTGGCACCAAATACACAGTTTCCAGGGAAACCAGCTTTCTCCCCCTCCCTTTCACCATGCAGGATATTACAATAAGATTTTCACTGATGCTCAGCTACAATGAGAGCCCTCCTCCCAGCCTCCTCTCTCGGGCCTCAGATCCTCCCAGGTGGCATGCTTCAGTTTTGCAGTCCCTTTACTGTCTGAGCTTGGCCTCCGATGTGATTGTCTGTCCCTCTTCCTGAGCAATAGCCAGAGCTCTTTCAGTGTGAGGCTCTTTTAAGTCTCCTCCTGGGTCCTTGACGGATGGTCTTGTGCTGTTCATTGACAAGTTTGGACCCGTGGGGTAATGCAGAGAATGACTGAGTAGGCAGAGGAGCTGGTGGAGGGCATGGCTTCCCTGTCATTTTAAGGCAGCCTTTGCCATGCAGTGAGTGCCTGCCTCCAGCGAAGCGCCCCACTCTTTCTTTTATCATCTTTCCCTCTGATGGATCCTGGTACGTTTGCTCCTGAATAACTTAACCAACTTGCTTTAATTCAATTGTCCAAACAGATTTCAACTATGAGTACGTACAGAGAGAAGCTCTCAGGGTTCCCCTGGTATTTCGAGAAAAGGATGGACTAGGAATTAAGTAAGTTGCTGAAACTAATCACTTCTTCCCTTGTCCTATTCCCTAATGATGGATATAGTTTTAGATGGGTCTCTCCCCTCCTCTTCTCACT